ATAAAAATGAGTTGCAGGCCGGGCGCGGTGGCTCAAGCCTGTAATCCCAGCACTTTGGGAGGCCGAGGCGGGTGGATCACAAGGTCAAGAGATCGAGACCATCTTGGTCAACATGGTGAAACCCCGTCTCTACTAAAAATACAAAAAAAATAGCTGGGCATGGTGGTGCGTGCCTGTAATCCCAGCTACTCAGGAGGCTGAGGCAGGAGAATTGCCTGAACCCAGGAGGCGGAGGTTGCGGTGAGCCGAGATCGCGCCATTGCACTCCAGCCTGGGTAACAAGAGCGAAACTCCGTCTCAAAAAAAAAAAAAAAAAAAAATGAGTTGCATTCTTAAACATTAACAATGAACAATCCAAAAGAGAAATTAAGGAAAAAATCCTATCTATAATCACATCAAAAAGAATAAAATATTTAGGAATAAACCTAGCCAAGGAGACAAAAGACTCTTACAGTAAAAACTAAAAAGCACTGCTGAAATAAAGACGCAAATAAATGGAAAGATTTTCCATGTTCATAAACTGGAAGACTCAGTATTTAGAAGTCAACATTACCCAAAGCAACCTACAGATTCAATACAATCCCTAACAAAATACCAATAGCCTATTTTTTGAAGAAATAGAAAGACCCATCCTAAAATTCATAGGGCATCTCAAGGAATCGCAAATAGCCAAAACAATCTTGAAAAGAACAAAGTGGAGTCTCACATTTCTTGATTTCAAAAGTTACTATAAAGCTACGATAATTAAAAGAGTGTGATATTGGCATAAAAACAAACGTATGGACCAATAGAATAGAATACAGAGCCCAGAAGTAAACCCTCAAACTTACGGTCAAATAATTTTCAACAAAGGTGCCAAGACCATTTAATGGGAAAAGGACAGTTTTCTCAACAAATGGTAATGGAAAAACCACACATATGGTAATGGATATCCACACATAAGACCTAAATGTAAGAGCCAGAACTATAAAATTCTTTTAAAATAAATAAAATAAAAATGTTGGGCACGGTGGCTCATGCCTGTAATCCCAGCACCCTGGGCTAAGGTGGGAGGACCACTTGAGTCCAAAAGTTTGGGACCGGCCTAGGGAACATAGTAAGATCCCTTCTCCTCAGAGAATTTTAAAAACTTAGCCAGGCGTGTAGGCACACACCTGCAGTCCCAGCTATTCGGGAAGCTGAGATGGAAGGACTGTTTGAGCCCCAAGTTCAAGACTACTGTGAGCCATAATCACACTGGTGCACTCCAGCCTGGGTGATCAGGCAAGAACCTACCTGTCCTTTTTTTTTTTTTTTTTTTTTTTTTAAAATGGGGTTTCACCATGTTGGTCAGGCTGGTCTTGAACTCCCGACCTCAGGTGATCGGCCTGCCTTGGCCTCAAAGTGCTTGGATTACAGGCGTGAGCCACCACGCCAGGCCAAATGAATTTCTTCTTTCTTTCTTTCTTTTTTTTTTTTTAAGAGACAGGGTTTCACCATGTTGGTCAGGCTGGTCTTGAACTCCTGACTTCAGGTGATCTGCCTGTCTCGGCCTCCCAAAGTGCTGGGATTACAGGCATGAGCCACTGCGCCCGGCATTAAGAAAGAAAGAAAACATAGGGGAAAATCTTCCTGACATTGGATTTGATAATGATTTCTTGGCTATGACATCAAAAGCACAAGCAACAAAAGAAAATCTAGATAAGCCAGATTTCATCAAAATTAAAAACTGTGTGTGCAGCAAAGGACACTACCAAAAAAATGAAAAGGCAGCCTACAGAGTAAGAGAAAACATTTGCAAATCCTATGTCTGAAAAGGGACTGATATTCAGCATATATAAATAACTTCCACAACTCAAAAACAAAAACAAAAAACCTTATTAGAAAACAGGGAAACAACGTGAATAGATATTTTTCCAAAGAAAATATACAAAAGACCAATAACCACATGAAAAGACGTTTAACATCACCAATCAGTTTTTAAAAACGCAAACCAAAATCACAATGAAATACCACTTCATACTCATTAGGATGAATATTCGAAAAGAAACAACAACAACAACAAAACACACCAAACAGCAAGTAACAAGTATTATTGAGGATGTGGAGAAACTGGAACCCTTGTGCACTGTTGGTATGAATGTAAAATTTTCTGGATATAAAATACATAAAAGAAATGAAAGCAAAGACGCAGATATTTTTACATCCATGGTCACAGCAGCATTATTCACAACAGTCAAAATGTGGATGCAACTTAAGTGTCCATTGATGGATGAATGGATAAACAAAATGTAAAAATACACGCAATGGGTATTCAGCCTTAAAAAGAAAGCAAATTGTGACACATCCTACAACATGGATGGACCCTGATGACATTATATTAAGTGAAATAAGCCAGATATAGAAGGACAAATACTGTATAATTTCACTTATATGTGGTACTTAGAGTAGTCAAAATTAAAAAGACAGACCCTGGTAGTTGCCAGGGGCTGGAGGGTAAGGGAAAATGGAGAGTTTCAGCTTAGGAAAATGAAGTCATGAGCCTAAGAAAACTCCAAATGAAAGAATTCTACATGGAGGGTGGTGATGGCTGCACAACAATGTAAATGTACTTAATGCAGCAGAACTATAAGTTTAAAAATGCTTAAGATGGTAAATTTTATGTGTAATTTACCACAATAAGCACAGAGATATATGCTATGCCACTTTTCCTCCTGACTTTATCCTGGTCTAAGATCTCTTCATACTCAGATTACTTCAGCAGCTACTGTCCTCTCTGGTTCATTCCATTCTCTCCTCATTCTAACTCAACCTGTAGATCACTGACAAGTTTGTTTACCTTGCTGGTTTATGACATTGATCCCTGGCCTCCAAATTTTCAAAGGCTCTCTATACCTTGCACAACAGGATAAAAATGGAAATCTCAATTCAGTACTCAAACTCTTCTACAGACAAACAGCTTTCCAACTGACTAATGTTTCCTAAGGAAAACATTCTCCTCAGGAAATTCAGTTGTCAGCTCATCCCAGTCTCCCTCTATTTCCCTCCCCCTAAGCTAATCTTCGCTTTATACTCTTGCTTTTCCCTCACAAAGTAATTGCTACAATCTCTCCATACATCTAAACTTTCATGGGCCAGCTCACATCCAAAGTGTCCCATGTTCTTTGGACTCCCAAGGCCTCAATCATCTCTCTCCATCCTGTACACCAGCAGTATTCTTTGTATTAGCAGAACTAACTAGATTGTCTTCTAGGCTCATGTTTGTACACTTGATCTTTCCAGTAAGAACTTGAAGGCAAAGTCTATATATTAATGGCAAAAACCGCAGTTACTTTTGCACCAACCTAGTATTATGTTTCTTTCCTTTCTTCCACATCATTTGTAAAATGGAAAACAAAAATCAGACCTTCAACAGTCAGCTATATAATTCTGGATGTGTGAACTTCAGTAACTAGAATCTGAAATCAGAATCATTTTGGCATTACTGTACTTCTGAAGGTTTACCTGTGACACACTATAAATAAAAATGCTGTGACTCAACAAGATGATACACGGAAACCAGGTAGTATATCCTAGAAATCAACACAGGCGTTTTAAATCCTAAAATCAGAGTCTGATACAAAAAACTTGTTTAAAAGCTGGTACTGGGACACAATACGGTAGTCAGATTTTGTGGGACAAGAATATTGACCTATAAGTTTTACTGAATTCATGCAAGAATGAGCCATGTTAAAACTGGGTGAAAATGTGTCATGAGCCTAAGAAAATTCCAAATGAAATATCACTCTGTTTTTATTAAGTTCAGGTTAGGGCAGAAAAAAAAATCTTCATTAGTTACTTGAAGTAGCTGACAGAATGAGTGAGAGCCTCTCATCTTCGCTTTCAACTTTATTACACCAAAACCTATGGACAGGGATGCGTGGTGAATGATAAAAAATGCAATCAATGAAGAACAAGCAGCTCAGGAGTGTAGTAAAAACGAGCTCTCTAAATGGGGTGTAGAGGCTTACAACTTAGTTTTGGTCTAATTCATCGCCAGCTGTAGGACCCATGGCAAGTCACTCGCCTCTCTGGGTCTGGTTTCCCAGGTCTAAAACGATAGTCAACACCTTTAGATATCTAAAAGTTTTACTGACTCCAAAATTCCATGACAAGTCTAATAACGGCTGCTTACAAAGCAACTGCAAGTCCTTCCACATTTCAGGAAGAAAGCAATTCATCTCAGCAATCTAAAGGAAACAAATGCCATTAGGGACAAAAGATTGTTAGATGACTAGGCCAGGTGCGGTGGCTCATGCCGGTAATCCCAGCACTTTAGGAGGCCAAGGCAGGTGGATCACCAGAGGTAAGGAGTTCAAGACCAGCCTGGCCAACATGGTGAAAACCACGACTCTCCCAAAAATACGAAAATTAGCTGGGCGTGGTGGCAGGGGCCTATAATCCCAGCTACTTGACTGAATCGCTCGAACCTAGGGGGTGGAGGTTGCAGTGAGCCGAGATCGAGATCGTGCCACTGTACTCCAGCCTGGGTGAAAGGGCGAGACTCCATTTACACGTGCGCGCGCGCACGCACACACACACACACACACACACACACACACACACACACGATTGTTAGTTGAAAATGCTAAGTAATTCAGTAAAAAAAAAAAAAGTCTATTTTCTCATTACAGTAAGATGTCTTCGCAGAGGAAACAGTGCTCTAGTAAAGATAACTAAGACTGCTTCTGTAAATTAGGCCTACTCCAGAGTACTTATTATCTGTGCTGGTATGTGAAGAAGTGCTATTGTAGTTCAAAAGAGAAACAACACTTCTTGGAGTTTCTCCAGACACGATGAGAGAGTTTTCACCTTGGGGTAAAGCTAGCAAACACTGTGCAAATGACAAGGTACTGAAAAATGCACACATTTTGCCATTCAAGTACTCCAAACAGTCTTCTCTTCTTCATCAACACTTGGTATTGTCTCCCTCCCAACCTGTCAAAGCTTAATTCCAGGTTTATCCCGCAACTTTCACTTACCTGAACAATCTAACTTGCCCTGGGAGTAGCAGTCCACAGGCCTGCTGTCTTCCCAGTCCCCGCCGGCCACTTTCACGCCCACCCCTGGCGGTCGCAACCCTGCAGCCAGGTAAACACGCGCCCTAGTCTCGGGAGCGGTTTCTCAGTGTCCTGGGAGCCGCAGGTCCCGCCTCTGGGAGCCCGGAGCCCAAAGCCGGGCGGCTGGCTCCCTCGGGCCGGTCTCCCCGCCCCGAGCCCCGACCGAGCGCCCCTGCCCCAGGGACGGTGGCGCGCTCCAGCCAGTCCCTCGGAGCGCACAGGGACCGGCCAGTCCGGCGCCGCCGCGCCTCAGCCCCAGACGGAAGACTCGCCCCTCCCTGTCCGGCGTCCCAGCGCCTCCCGCGGCCGCTCGGCCCCAGCCTAGACGCCCCACGCCCAGGAACTGCCCCTTCCTCGCCGGGACGCCCCGCGCCACACTGGGCACAGCATCGGCTCCACAGCCTCAGAGACACCGAGGGACACTCACCCCGGAGGCTCCTTCCGCCGCTGCTGCTGCCGCTGGGACCGCTGCCGTCGCCTCCGCCGCCGCCGCCACCAGCACCGCCGTCCGCACCAGCGCCAGCACCCCCAGCCATCCTCCTCCCACCGCCGCAGCCGCCCTCTCCTCTCCTGTCAGTGGCTTAGGCTCCAGGACTGCTCCAGGTTCCCCTCACCGCCATTTTGACTCCTAGAGAGAGCAGGAGGGGTTCGGCTCGGCGCGGCCCTGGGGCGCCTGCGCGGCGCTGCGGAGTAGGTCAGGGCCCCCGCCCTCCCCTGCCGTCGTCGCGCTCGGGGTCACGTGGCTCGACGTCGTCGCGCGCGTCGGGCCGCGTGGAAGGCCACCCATTCGCTGGAGCCGTGGGAGCCCAGGGCGCGCGCATTATTCTTGCTCGTCGGCAGGGAGCTGGGCGTCGGGTTGCTGGGAGTTTGCAGCTCGCGGCAGCATTCTGCTTAGTCTAGCGAATTGTGACACATTATTAAATATATCAGAATAGAATTCTAAGAACGGTGTCACTATTACGTCACCGGATGGCCATTTCCACCAATTCACATTGTCGTTCGACCGCTGGCATCCCTCGGGTGGTCGCACACAATGAATGCATCTTTCTCAAAGAGAACTGCTTTTCCGCGGAAAGTCCTTGCTGTCGGTCCTGGCGTTCGGGTGGCAGCTTCTTGGTAGTGAGCACTTGTCTATCGGAAGCACTTGTCTGCATGGTACTTTTACAGACATCACCTTGCTACTTGTAAGTTAAAAAAAAAAAATCTTTAAGACACCAGAAAGTTTTTCCTTAACAAGATACCCCAGTAAACAAAGGGCAAAATTGATGAAAACACAGTCGCCAAGTGGCAGAGCCAAGTCGCTTTTCTCTAGATGCCCCTTGTTTGGGAGTTTGCAATTTCAGCGATGCAGTAACAAGAACACTCTAATTATGGGGCACTGTAGTTTTCAAAACACTTGTAAGATACATGGTTTCATTTGAACGCCAAGCCCCACTCTTTGTGGTAGTCAGGATAGGTGTTTTTATCGCTGTTTCACAGCCTCAGACAGGCTCAGAAATACCGACAAGTAGACAAGCCAAGATCAGAACCCAGGCATTCTGAATCCGGTGACCAGGCACCCTTACATCTCCTTGTCCTCAGACCTTAGCAACTCCGGAATTTATTTGAAAGTATTATATTTGCAGCCAGGCATGGTGGCTCACGCCTGCAATCCCAGCACTCTGGGAGGCTGAGGGGCACGTATTACCTAGGTCTTTATCAAACGCTCAGTATTGTCTGCCTCCCAACCTGTCAAAGGAGTTCAAGACCAGCCTGGCCAACACTGTGAAACCTCGTCTCTACTAAAAATACAAAAATTTGCCAGGCATGGTGGCACACACCGAGTCCCAGCTACTCGGGAGGTTGAGGAAGGAGGATCTCTTGAACCTGTGAGGTGGAGGTTGCAATGAGCTGAGATCAGGCCACTGCGCTCTACCCTGGGCAACAAGAACCTATCTCAAAAAAAAAAAAAGAAAAAAAAAAAGAAAAAGAAAAAAAAGAAAAGAAAGTATTATATTTGTATTTTCAATCTCGACTGGTTGTTTGAGAAACAAGTTTTGTTTAACAGTTTTTTTGTTTGTTTTGAAACCACCTCTAAGCTTCAAAGGATAAGAGCAATTTGGAATTTTATGATGTGTTTTTAACCATCTCTTGATCCTTCATTATGTTATGCCTTTCATATTCAGTTGGAGACTGAATATCATTGTTTTTTCCTCTGGGCTTTCTTCAGATTTGTATTTTTCTCACCCTCATTCCTTATCACCTTACTTCCTTGAAAAGGATAGCTCTTTCCAATTTGTGTTCATTTTGTTTCCCCATCTCACCCCTTTCACCCTCTTACACAATCGTTGAAGGTTTGGAGATTGTAGAAGAGGCTGTGGCAGTCCCTTGCCTGAAATTTCCCCTCTAGATGGTGAGGGTCACTTCAGTTGAACACACAGCCTCATGGCAAGAAACAAGAATTGCATGGGAAAGTGAGAAAATAGAAAGGAAATCGGTCCATCTTATTGGAGCCAATGATTAGCTCTGAGTGTCCACCTCTTGTTTCACATATTTAAACTTCCCTAAAGGGGTAACTGAACCTTACCTAAATTCAAGTCACTTACCATTATTTTCCATCATTTTACCTTTGTCTTCATTTGCTAAATACAGCTGACACTTGAACAACATGGGTTTGAACTGTGCGGGTCAATCAACGTAACCTGGTACATGGGATTCTAAACATCCTATTGAGAGGGCCAACTTTTCTTATACTGAGTTTCCACGGGGCGGACAGGGGGACTTGAGTATGCTTAGATTAGGGTATATGTGGTGGGTCGTGGAACCAGTCCCATGTGTATAGCATATGGTGAATGACTGTATTGCATTAACTGAAAGAACTATGATTAGCAAACTAAAAAGCAGTGAGTAAACACTGCTTGTTGGAAATTTATGAAAATGTTAAATAAGATCAGTCCCCACTATTTACATGTATTACTAACCTTTATTACTTGACTTTAATTTCCCAGACACAGTTTAAAAAACAAAATTAAAATGATATCCACAACAATAGAAATCTAAGTAATTTGAGGATAATACTTTCTAAGAGCCTTTGATGTGGAAAGCTAAAGCTTTTTGAAAAGCCAAGTAAGGTGTGCTGGTTGCACCTTGTTCTTTAGTCCATCTGCACAGCTGGAGACTTCTAGTAGCCTGTTTGGATCTAGAAAGCATATATAGGTGATCTATGACTTTTTTTCTACCCTTTAATTCATTCACTGTGTTTTCTTATTACACCATTTAGCTGCACTTTTGAGATCCTGAATTTACTCAATTTACACACTGAGAATTTAGATGTTTATTTCAGTTCAGTCCAACAAACATTTAAAGTATCCAATACCATGTGCCAAGCACAGTACTACGTGCTAGGGGTAAAAAAAAATAAGTGGATCTTGGTACTTGAGCTCAGAATCTAAACAGGAAGACAGAGTGAAAAACATTTTTTTAAAAGTCTAGTGTTAAGATGGTACTAAGTAGTGGTTAACAGCATGGGTTCTAGAATCAGATAGATCTGGATGGCCATGACACAAATAGTTCAATCAGAACCTTTTCTGGAAATTTTTGCCACACTCTTAGAGAAGCTGTTTTTTCTTACTCTATTTCTCTGGGATTATGACTTGAAAGGACATGTAAATTGGCTTCATTTGGCAATGAGGAGAAAGCCATGTGCAGTAGGAAAGAAGGAAGACCACAAACAGAGAAACAAAATGAGAGAAAGGGAAGCCATGACATCATTTGAATACCTGGGCCAACCTGGGCCTGAAACAAACCCTTCTCTGGTCTTTTCACTTTTAGAAGCCATTAAATTGCCCTAACACCTCTTTTTATCTTAAGCTAATTGGAAATGGGTAAAAACAGTGAATTTCTTTGGTTTGCAACCAAGGGTCCTGAATTTAAGTTCTGTTCCTTTCTCTACTCCCTCCATCAGTGAGTGGCATCCCATCCACCCAATCATCTATGCTGAAAGTCTGAATAATCTCATGGTATAGTCCACGTTCCATCACTCCAGTCTTTTCCTTCCTTTGTACCCCCTTTTGTACCATACATACCCATCCACTGAAGCCCATTCCCAGACTCATCTTCCTGGGAATACAGGATGGAAGCTGGGTTTTTGAAATCAAGGAGAAAAGACAAATTTATATATTTTTGGAATTTCCTGAGGTCTAAAAGATGAAGAGGATTGAAAACCCCAGAACAGTGATAAGTAACTTGTAGGTGCTTAATTAAATAAGAAGTGCTTGGCTGGGCATGGTGGCTCACACCTGTAATCCCAACACTTTGGGAGGTTAAGGAGGGTGAATCATGAGGTCAGGAAATTGAGACCATCCTGGCCAACATGGTGAAACCCCATCTCTACTAAAATACAAAAAAACTAGCTGGGCGTGGTGGTGCACGCCTGTAGTCCCAGCTACTTGGGAGGTTGAGGCAAGGGAATCACTTGAACCTGGGAGGCAGCTGTTGCAGTGAGCTGAGATCACGCCACTACACTCCAGCTTGGAGACAGAGTGAGACTCTGTCTCAAAAAAAAAAAGTGCTTAATAATTATTAAATTAACAAATAATAAAATTAATAAAGCTTTTAGAAAATAATATTGGAAAATATTCATTGTCTTGGGGAAGAAAAGACAAGCAAGTCACAGAAAACATTAATCATAAGGCTATATAGTTAGTAAGTGATAGTGCTGGGATTTGACTTTTGATCTTTTGGACCTCAAATGCCAATCTCTTCATGTCAGTATAACAGAGATCCATTGAAGAATATCTGGATGTAATTCAGAAAAAGAAGAGGAATGTGAAATTTAAAAATGAAAAAGGTGCCAGGTTTGGTAGCTTATGCCTGCAATCCCAGCATTTTGGGAGGCTCAGGCAAGAGGATTGCTGAGCTCAGAAGTTTGAGACCACCAGTCTGGGCAAATTGTGAGATCCCATCTCTATTAAAAAAAAAAATTAGCTGGGCATAGTG